AGACACAAAGGTAGCACCATCTGTCACCATTAGAGTTCATGCAACACTGGCCTCCCCCTCAAAGACTGGCATGACAAATATTCCATCAATTGTCATGCACAGCTTTAGTTGAGCTGAGTTAAATATTTATTTCTTTTATAGGTACAAGCTGCTAGACTGTGTATTGAACGCATCAAGTGTCAAGCTAGCATTACCTCAACCAGTTTGCTTGATAGTAGTATTGATATTGGAATAATATCAATTATTGATGTTAGGGATCCATTGGTTAATGATAGGACATTACTGTGTAGTAGCAGTGATGGAAATGTCTCAATGGTATCACTGACATTTAAACAAGACCCTCAGCTACACCAAAGAACTGGTAGGTTATTATGCAGTTAGTGATAGAGCGCTTTTTTCTCACATACCATAGATTTAGTAATTTTCATAAGGTTGATGTAGAATTTGAATATTGGAAATTTTAATAATAAAATAGTTAAAGAGTATTATTAAATATAGCATGCTTCATTGCTTTGCAGAGTTGCTTGACTCAAAATTTACAGTACATGTACGTATTGCTCTTGTAAGCATTAAATGTAGGCTTTGCATCAAAATAAAACATTATTTTTTGAATCCATTAAATGGTGAGTACTAAGGGCCTAGTTCAATAAGCATGTTAGAAGCCACGTGTAATTCCTGGTGGCTACATGCATTTGTTTGTTGTACTTTATTACACAACTATTTATTTATTTTATTTTGTAAACTTTATTTAACAGGTGTGCTAAATGTCTCTAATCCACTGGTGACAATAAACATTGAATACTTATTATATTTAATTGGATACTTAAAGACATTGTACGAACCTTTCCTACCAAGCACTCCCTCCCAACCCTCTCCTACTAAACCTCCTAAGTCAGAGGCTGATGGTACTATTGTGGAACAGTATGAGATGAAGTTGACTGGTTCTATTGTTAATGCACGCCTTGTGGTTTCTGGTGATGAGCCCAACCAGGCACTGATAGCTCAAGTGAGTGTCAATTAGTTTACGAGTGAGTGATTGTGTTTGTGGGCGAATGCCAAAATGTCATGTAAATAATTTGTTGATGATCCGTTGAATGAAAAAATGGACTTGCAATGGATGCATGAACTATTATGAGTTGTGCTACTCAAGTACAATGATACGTGTATGTGTGTATTTATTTTGTTAACAAATTGCTACATAAATTGTTTAATGAGTAATGACGGCATTAGCAAATGTAGTGAATTTTAGGATTTTCAGCTCTTACTGAAACTGTACTCAATAGCCAACTTTGTTTTATTTAGTCTTTAAGATGGATTGAATATCAATGTTTTGTATTGTAGACTGGAGTGTCTCTTAGTATTTCGTTAAAGGATGGGTCCATTTCTATTCACTCGTCACTCCATTACTGTACACCATCATCACCAGAAGAAAAGACCTTAGATGAATCTGTAAACTGTAAAGGAGTGAAGCTCCAATTAACAGACACTGCTGGGATCATTGCTGAGGGTGAAGTGGGCCCTCTGGCCATTGATGTCATTATTAAACCTGATAATGGGACTAGGATCAAAACAAGGTAACTCTATTAATGTTGGAATGCCCACTTGTTTGACAGCACCTCTTACTGTAGGCTGAGTAATTTCATGTTGACTGATACAGTCACCAGCACTCAGGTATGCAGTATTTACTATTGAATCACACTATATGCTCCCTAATTGATACCCTGTATGTGTTAGATGTTTAGATTATATTGTAATAATAATTACATGTAGTAACCGTAGCCACTTGAAATAGCAAGCATTCTGTTTAGTTGCAAATGCATGTAACTTGTAAGTCAGGTTATGTGTGTGCATGTTTACGTCAGAAGCAGACACTCAAGTATGAAATGAAACCTGTTTACGTGACAGCCAGGGCCCAGTGCTCATGTAGGCTAATTAACGACTGGTTTTAGTATACACTGTGTGTTTTGACTGTTGGTGGTACTCATGCATGTACTGGTATAGTAGAACTAGTCTAGGCTCTTGAAATGAGGTTTGTAATTATTGCTTATTAACATTAAATTATTTCATTATTGTACTTTGCACTATTCCCTTTTACAATATAGTTTCTACTTTACTTTGTAAAGTGTATATGAATCCTACATGTACATGTATTTTGAATTATGGTACCATGAAGGGACGAAAAATTTTCTTATTGTTTTTAAAACTTTGATCTTACATGTAATTACTGTACATTATTGTCAAGGCAGCTTTGAAAATAAATATGCTTAAAACTTTTTAACTATGCCGTTATGCTCAAGTGTAAAACGTATCCTATTTCCATTTAATTATTACAGTGCTAAATTTATTAAATACTTTGTAGGTCATTAGTACTGTCGCTGATCCTTTGATTGATTTTGATCTTCAAATGCACAAAGTTCCTTCGGCTGATAATGCTGACATTGAAGTGTCTGCTACTGTCA